AAAACTGATCCTTTGAGGGGAATGTCAAACACAATGAATGAGAAAATCATTAACAGAATAGATTTGGCGGAAACACAACACAACAACATAATTATGTGTGAAATGAGAATCTCTGCCGAATTAACGCCGGCCACCAGTGCTCTGTCCAGATGTCCGTCCTTTCGCTCAATCACAATGAGGAGGGACGAGAAAAGCATCGTGGTCACGTGTATTGTGGCGATTATCACTCCCGGTGCCGTGAACTCGTACACCGATGCGTTCATACTGCCATAAATGGGTTCTTTGACTGCGAAAGGTATGGAATAGGCGTTGGGGTTGAAGCCCAGGGATGACATATAGTTATGCAAAAACTTTTGCGAACTCTCCAGAAGCGAGTGATGAATGAATGGACTGACGGCTGAATTAGTCATATCGGCGTACAGTTTGATATGACTTTCGTCCAGTTCTTCGTCTGTCAGTTCGTATGGATTCTGAACTCTGGCCTCAAGACTATCACTGAAATTATGTGAGAAGAGTATCGCGTAATAGGCTTTCCCTCTCTTCACCGAATCGATGGCTTTGTCTTTGTCTCTGTAATAGTCTTCGCGAATCATTTTCCTGTCGATGTGTCCTAAGAACTCATGCGATAAGTGATTGTCAAAGTGGGGCTCATGTATGGCAATGGGTATGGCATTGAGTTGACCCCCAGTGCACACACAGAACAGTGTTATTTGTATGACAGGCAACAGCAGTAACATCACTAAAATGATGGGATTTCTGGCGATCCTTATCTGACTTCTCCACAGAAGAGCTCTAATGTGTTTCAAATCAATCAACTTCTTCTGATCCGAACATAAATTAAGACTATTTTTCATATTTTGTTCATTTGGTTGAGGTTTTGGGCCATCAATTGACTCTACTTTTGGATTGTGTTTCTTTTCGATGGAAATCTGTAGGAATGCCTCTTCAAGTGTTCGGCACTGGTATGCGGTTAACAGGTCTCTGGGGTTTGACTGCACTAATAGTGTGCCCGACTGTATGTACGCCACATTGGATGCAGTGGTCGCTTCTTCCAGATAATGGGTTGTTATCACAACTGTTGTCCCTATTTGTCATCAATTATTTTATTTCTTATGGTTAGCTCTCATATTTTAATAATTTTAAGCAAATTCTAATCAATTGTCAACTAAAATCTAAAACAAATGCTAAAATAGTGACAATTATTAGAATGCAATTCAAAATATACTGTACAGTACTGTAAGTTCATTAGGTTCAATTGCAACAAGTAGAATATTATATTACTTAAGTGCTGTATATTTGTTGTGCATTCAAATGTTTAATTAGTGTAAAATAAATACAATGTTAAATATAAAAACAATAGATGTTCGTGTGGTTTCAATGTCTAACGTATTTACACATGTTTTTAAAACATTAAAAAATATATTGTCTATTTGTTTAGTGTTTGTGAAATCCTTGAACTTCAATATAGTTCTCACATTTAAAGAGACGGATCAATGAAGAAAACAGACATTTAAGTGACACTTAATTCATAACAATTATAAAGTGCGATATTTATACCAAACCCAGACTATTATCTGAATTTCGTGACTTTTCTTGATTTCATAGATTGTTTATCTAATACATGTGTTATTGAAATAATCATTTAGCCATTAGAAGGACTTTTAATCCAATGAAATATATAAGATGATTTCAAAGATTGTTATGTTAACAGAAAATGAAATTAATTTTTAAAATGTTATATAAAAATACTCTCAATATTATACAGTATATACGTATCCATTTAAAAAATAATTCAACTTTATATAATAATATAATGCTACTAAATTGTGGAGAAAATACCTATTTATTTTAAACCCTCTAATCCAGATTATATCTTATTGCCAACTTAAACATTTTTGTTTCTTATAAAACTTGTAAAAATAACATTGTTTAATTATAAAATACAAATGCACAATCAAAATAATAATTTTATAAAATATTCACAGTCATGTGTATTCATAATTTTAAATTTCAAAAACTTGTTATTAAAATGCATGCAAACTTTTGCTTTACTTTAATTTTTAAAAAATTTAGTTCCTAATAGATATTTAAGCTGAAAAGGTTTCCTGGTATTAATTTTTAAGCTTTAAAACTTGAAGCACAATATGATATTTATTATAAGTTATTATAAATTTATGTTCACTGCATTATGCTTTTATTTTATATAATTGTGTTTATACAACAAAATTGTTCTAGTATAAAATAATAGTCAACTTTGAAAAAGGAAAAACGGTGTTTTCCTTATCTCTTGTCCTTTCATTTGATTCAACCTTCTCTTATAAAATATAGATAACAATCAATTGAATTGAGATTAAAATAGAGATCAAACAAAACGTGAAAAGTTCTTCTTATCTACAAAAAGTCACTGAATTCTGAATTGAAGGCAAAATTATATTATGTTTTTGTTATTGATATTATATTATACTGTACTGTAATATGGTCTGTCAGACAGCAAACTTTTTTCTTGAGCATAGATTTATGAAAAAAATTTAGTAAATATTATTAAACCCGACTTAAAACTAAAAACAAATATTATTTGAATTTATTTAAAATTATAAAAATAAAACAACAACCACTTTTAACTTCAATTGTTTATATGAATACTAACTTTCTATTAGTTTTAGAGGACAAATACTTTTGTAAAGTTAAATATAAATAGTTAATTTCAATAATAAAATTATCAATATGGTAAAAATAGAAAATAAATAAATAGATAATAACTAACATTAAAAAATTGTTTATGAGATATAAACCTTACCATCATTTTTGCACATATCCTCCAAATATTCCCAAATACGACACCGGAGTACGGAATCGACGCCTACTGTGGGCTCATCTAAGATAAGTAGCGGTGGTTTGTGAAACATAGTGACCGCCATCGACACCAGTCTCTGTTGTCCACCACTCAACTGACCGATCAGTCTCTCCTTGTGAGGCAAACCCAACAATTCCTTCAAATGGATAATTCTTTCGCGAATTTTACTCAAATCCATGTGATATAGTGTCCCGAAATAGTAGAGTATCTCTGTTATTGTGAACTCATTGAATAGAGCCGTTTCTTGTGGCATATACCCGACCCCTTTGCCCGGTATAGTCGACTTAGAACTGCCGGGTCTTATGCCAAACACACGGATGAATCCATTGCTGGGTCGGAGTCGACCCAAAACTAGACGCAAAAGTGTTGTCTTTCCGCAACCACTCGCTCCCAATAAACCAAATATTCGTCCTTTAATTGCAAACATTATTGAAATTGAATTTAAATAATTTTAAAAATTGTTTACCTTTTGGTATTTTAATACTTAAATTATTAAGTATTAAAGTATTCTTCTTATACCCGAAGTTAACATATTGAACGTCAATTGCCGGTCGAGAATCCAATATTGAATAAATGTAATGATTTTTGCAATTTAATGAATTACTATTCTTCTCGAAATTATTAACCCGCAAAAGTTTTGGCTCCATTTTTCTATTTAAAACAATAACATTTTATTTTACTAAATAATTACTGTTAAACATATTAAAATATAATTATTAGTAAAGTAATTATGAAAACTGTAAGAAATTCCTTTCATATCCATTTAAATGTCTGGCATTAATTTTAAATACTATTAAACGTAATGTTATTAAATTTACTTAAGATTATTTGATAAACTATTTTAGATCCATTAAAATGATACCAAATAATAAGTTAAATCCATCCTTCAATTCAAGTTCAATACATTTTATAACTATTTATTACAATTGGATTAATTTTTAGGGTACAAGTTATTTACAATTAATTCAAAATAAACAAAATATACTAAAACATTAAACAATATAGTTCCAACTTTTTCTCTATAGTTTACTGTAAAATAGTATAATAGAAATTTGTACTAAACATTAAACTGTCTAAAATGATTGAATATTATATTAAATATATTGGTAACTTAAAAAATGGTTGAAACAACAATTATCACAGATACGATAAGATCGTAATCTTATCGATGTATTTGATTATCAATTGACAATATTTGCTTAAAAGTACAGAAATCTGATTTATAAATATGTTTTGAAGGATAAAAGTGAAAATGTGTAAAATTTTTAATTTAATCGGTTTTAGTACTTGAAAGCCATTATAAGTAGTGTACTCTCCCTTGAGATGACTATTTCTGAATATAACCTTTAATTACATTTAAACACTACTGTATTTATATAAAAGATTTTATTTACAATTTATTGTATAAATTAATGTAAATATTTAATTTTATTAAATTTACTAAAAATAAAACGCGAAAATAAAAATAAAGAATTTATTAAATTAAAAATTAATTCAATGTATAAACATATTTTAATGTTTGATGTATTTTTCATGAAATTTAATTATTTAAGAATTTATATATTCATAAGAATTTCAGAATAAATTATTAAAACAAAAAATACAAAAATAAAGAAAACCTTTAATAAACTTTTGATTTCTACCGAAAAATACTTGATGTCAATTAAATAAGTTGTCTACAGATTGGGTTTCCTCTTATAAATCAAAATTCAACTCAAATTTCATTTTGAAATCTTTATATCATTTTGTAGCCATCACAAGATCTTCACAATCTAAGTGTCACTTATTTCTCACAAACATAAGTATAATTATTAATTATAGATTTCAACTAAACTTATTAAGTTGTGTGCTTACAATTTTAAAATAATAAAATTTAAAATTATATTAAATATTTATTATAACTTATATTAAAATAATTATAATAGAAATCAATTCTTAAAGAAGTTCTTAATTACAATTAATAAAAAAATATAAAAAATACAATAGTTAAAAATATTGTGAATATCTAAATTATATTATAATTTATTTTATGGAGAAGTTTAATAGCATATAAAATTTATAATTAATTAAATATAAAAATTGAAATAATATTACACAGGATCTCATGATATTTGAACTATGAAAATTTAAAATAAAACAATTTAATAATTCTGTTATTATAATTTAACTATTTAGCTTCGCTATGAATCTTTATGTTTTAAATAATTTCTTTAATATTTGTTTATTTCTAACCGTAAAATTTACAACAAAATAAATAGTTACAATAAATACTTAGCAATTACTTACGATTGATATTATTTCTGAATCAAGACAATCAAATGGAAATCTTTAATTTTAAAGATTAATTTATTAAAAGTGTTAATTAAATGAAATTAATTGTGAGAAAACATAGTAAAACTCAATTCACAGCTCATTTGTTCACAAAATCAAAGATAACTTTATTGTGGATAAATGCATAACAAAGTGATCAAGCAGCATCATTAGATGAGAAATATATGAACACAATCACTAACAAAGTTATAAAAATGTAAATATTTCTCTCTTATTAGTCGAGAAATAGTGGAGAACTTAATCTGACAGACAGGCCTCATATCCATCTCTAATCTGGATCTCAGAGAAAGTTATAATGACTTACAGGTTAACAATCAGTGGCTTAACAG